TCGCTGGGCCAGCCTGGGTGTTTCTCTTTCTCCGAGTCTCTGTGTCCCCATCAGGAAAGTCATAGAATGGGCCGGTGGCCTGGGCCTTGCAAGGAGAAGGCCTGGGGCAGTGATGAGCTAGGGTGCCTGAGGCCCTGTCTCAGAATTCGTAACACCCACTGCATTTCAAGACAACTGCATGACATCTCCACCAAACGGGCTACTCAGTGGGCAGATTCCAGGAGCATGGGATGCCCTGGGGTGACATCTACAGTTGGATGGAATAGTATCCCTTCACCACTTTTTTAAAAATATTTATTTTTTATATTTATATATTATTATTATATTTATTAAATATTATATTTATATTTTATAATTATATTTATTATATATTATATAATATAATATATTATGTATTATATATAAATAAATAAATATATTTACATATTTTTGAAAATATTTATTTATTTATTTATTTGAAAGTCAGAGTTACACAGAAAGAGGAGAGGCAGAGAGAGAGAAGTCTTCCATCTGATGGTTCACCCCCCAACTGGCTACAACAGCCGGAGCCAAGAGCCAGGAGCCAGGAGCTTCTTCCAGGTCTCCCAAGCGAGCTCAGGAGCCTAAGGACTTGGGCCATCTTCCACTGCTTTCCCAGGTCATAGCAGAAAGCTGGATAGGAAGAGGAGCATCTGGGTCTCAAACCGGCGCCCACATGGGATGCTGGCACTGCAGGCCAGAGTGCTAACCCACTGCGCCACAGCGCCGGCCCCTCCCTTCACCACTTTTTTAAGTTTTAAAACTCTTCCGATTATGCAAAGGAAAAACTGGAGCTCAGGTGCTCTTAACCTCAGCATTCTTTTTTTTTTATTTATTTTATTTTATTTGAAAGACAGAGTCACAGAGAGAGGTAGAGCCAGAGAGAAAAAGAGGTCTTACATCTGCTGCTTCACTCCCCAGATGACCGCAGCAGCCAGAGCTGAGCTGATCCAAAGCCAGGAGCCAGGAGCTTCTGCTGGGTCTCCCACGCAGGTGCAGGGACCCAAGGACTTGGGCCATCCTCTGCTTTCCCAGGCCACAGCAGAGCTGGATCGGAAGTGGAGCAGTTGGGACTTGAACCGGCAACCTTGGCATTCTTGCTTCTGTCTACCCAGAGAAGAAGAGGGCAGCCTTGGGGTGTCATCTTCATGAGGAAGAACAACTAAGTAGTTGGTGGTAGTACCGTATTTCACTGTATATAGGTGCACATAAAGTCTGATTCAGCAACTCGTTTCCTATATACAGCAGAGGTGTAAGGTTGCTTTTAAAATACTTCCATTTAATGAACCAGGGAAGCCAATTTTTGGGTGGGGGAATATACTGTGTTGAGCCATATGAAATTGCCTAAACTTTACCACTTCTAGCCTACCAAAAAATGGCAATTTAATATGGTTCAACTAATAGAAAGCAGTGATGATAATAATAATGGCCAGTATTTATTGAAGACTTACTATAACCTGGCACTACTTCAACTGCTTTATAAGGAGTATGTCACTTAATCCTAGAATTAAGAATGCACAGACCTTACTGTCCTATATTCTATGAAATACGGTACTATTGCTAGATTCTTATAAATTCTTCCTTCAGAAGACACTACCCCAATGATGATTACTGATATTTCTGTAAGAGCAAATTACACGGATGACCGCGGGGAGCAGCCTCATGTGTCTCCTTTGCCATGAATCTTGGTCGTACCGTTGTTTCCTGTGTGTGATCTGTTATTTCATTCATTCACTGGGACCCCCAAGTGTTCAAAATGCACTCTGACATTGCCACTATGAGGCTACACTGAGTGACTGGCCTGGAAATGGAATGAAAAGGGATTCAGGACTGTCGCTCCCCCTCTTCATGGAGGAACGACACTAAGCCCTGCCTAGGCTTCATATCCGAGTCACGGCACCATTATGTCGCTCCCCCTCTTCATGGAGGAACGACACAGGACCCTGCGCTGTTCTTTTGTCTGCTCGGCCCTCCCCGGGTTTGCTGCTGGTTCTTCCCGGGTTGGCTACCGTCCCTTCCACCTCCGTGGAAGGGCGGTTCCCCCTGCCACTTTTCCCCACTTCCGCGGGGGAGCGGCACACCGCCGGCCGGCTCTCTCGGGGGCTGCACAGGTGTTCCTCTTAGATGTTCCCCTTAGATGTTCCTGGTGCATGTTGTCTCTCTCCTCCTTTATAGTCCTCCTCCGCCAATCCCAACTCGGCTGCCCACACGCCAAGTACGCTGCTCTCCTCCAATCAGGAGCAGGATCAGCTCCTGGAGGTCAGCACTCAAGTTGGCAAGAGGCAGCTGCGTAGAAGCTGTTTCCTCCTCTCCCAGCACCATATTGTGGGAGAGCAGGTGCATAGAATAAGTCTTAATTCCAGTAACTCAGTCCAGTCCGAGTTGCTCCCCACACAGGACCCCGAAAGCAGAGAATCAGGGATGCCTGCAGCTCACCCGCCAGGCACCCGCCACGCCAACATAGCTAGGGTCTGGGAGAACAAGAGCAGAGTGCTTGTGGGGAGGCACCGAGCTTCCCAACAGCTAGAGACGAGCCTGTGTCAGGTACGGAGCAAACACAGCCCTCCCAGCGCCATGAGGGTCACAGCCCAAGCAAAAGCCACGAGGAAAGAAGAGGCCGGACTCAACCACAGTGTTAAAGTGGCTGCGGGCTCTGGGTGGGTCCAGTGATTCAGCCGTCGGCGTTCATTACGTAACGTGACGGTGAGTGGGGAGATTGGGAGCTCTGCTGTGAAGGCAGCTGAAGAATGCCGGCAGTGGAGAAAGCGGCAGCAGCCTGCCTGCCCGGTGTGGCCCAGGTGTGCGGCAGGCTGTCTCCGGCTGGGCTGGTGTGAGCGTGCGCTGCGGGAGTTTGCACAACGAGAAAATGCCTTAGTGACGCACTCTCAAAACGTATCCCTGTCATTAGCGATGCATGATCGTACCAGAAAAGCACAGCAATGATTTATACGCGGGCCACACAGGCTCCGGGGTCTTGGGCAAACAGCTCTGGCTCTGCGGGCCTCCCTTCTCTGCCATTCCACAACCCAGGAGCCTTCCCCGGGTACACTGCTGGAGTAGCACTGACACGTGCACTGGCTGGTGACGGCTGTGACTGGGGAGCAGGGCTAGGGGACCGCATTATGGCAAGGCATTGGCCCAGCCTTGAGACAGAGAAGCAAGGCGGCGTGGGCATGTGACAATGGGCCCAGTAGCCAGACAGTCCCCACTGTCCAGCCCGCAGGGACAGAGACACTGGCATGGCCATAGTGGATGGGAGAGGCTGCCCCAAGAATCCACAGCGGTGTGAACCCTGCAAAGGCCAGGACTGAGCTGTGAACAGCTGAAGGGCACAGGTGACCAGAGAAGAGAGTGACAATGGGCATAGGTCATTGTACACAGGGCCAGGGGAGACGCAAGGGGACACAAGCAGAGGCGGGAGATGCAGGTACCAGATGGCAGGGACAGTCCCCAAAGGATGTTTCCGGGCCATCAGGGACCATGTGAGCATGAGGCTGTGCCACTGCGCCACGGGACTCTCACCTGATGCCCGTGCGCAGTGCCGAACACAGCACCAAGGTCAGTACAGCCGGGGACAACCGTACCCAGAGGTGCTGACGCTGGGCCACGTGCACCTGCAGAAGCATCTGCCTGTCCCTGGCTCTGTCCCCGCAGGGCCCCGGCTCAGACTGGCTGGAAGGGATGTGAGGCAACCCACACTTAGTGGCCTGCAGAAGTGGGGACACCGGGGCCCCTAGTGACAGACTCCGTGTCCAGGTGTCACAGCGGGGGGCAACTGTGGCTTCAGGCTCAGTGGGAGAGCAGAAATCAGGTGGAAGCTGTGAGCCGGTTGGAGCTCATGTCACATAAAAGCCTCTCCTTTGACTCTGGGTTACAGTAGATGCCAGGAAGGTGGCCAGTGCCCAAAATCACGGAAAAACACAAGGAGTTGTTAAAACGAGGGCCCCTCGCAGTAGGATTGAAGCTAGAGACTGAGCGGTGTGTGTGTGTGTGTGTGTGTGTGTGTCGGGGGTGTCTGGAGAAGGGGTGGGGATATTGCAGGCCTGGGGGCTCAGGCAGCATCCACTGTCCAGCTGTGCTGGTCCTGCACCCCAAAGCAGGGGCAAAGCGGAGTCAGTGTTAGCCTGATGCGGTCTCCTCCTCATCCGTAAAGTGGGGCTGATATCCCTGCCCTCCTTGTGACTGCGGTTGTGGGACAGGAACTCGCTCCTCCCCCATGGTGTCCCTTATCCTGGGCACACAGGCCACGGCTCAAGGCTGAAGAGGAAGCCTAGAGTGCTTGGAGGTCAAGGTCTGCAAAGCCCACGCCGTGGAGGGCTCCCCCTCAGGCTGTGGAAGATGGAGGAGCAGGCCGGGCTGTGCAATGAGGGTGAGCAGCTCTCCTGTCCCCACAGCTTTCTGTGCAAAGTCCCAGACAGGGTCCCTGGGGAACCGGCAAGAAGGGGGTGGGCCAGGGACCAGGTTGGGGGCGGGGCAAGGTGCATTCAAAGTATAGGCTCCCTGATGCAGGCAGCTGGCTCCATGAGCCACAGGAGCTGGAGAATCACAAGCCTTGCGGGGACAGTCTCGTGCCCTCCTCTTGGGAGCAGAGCTGGCGGGCAGGGCCTGTGCTGGCTGTTTGGTGTGCCTCAGGCATTGGCATGGGGCCCAGGCTGTCCCTCAGCGTGACCCCAGGGCAAGCACTGCCCCGCCCCCTGCAAGGCTGCCGCCATGCCCCCCAACCACCACCACCGCCACTATCGCCAGCCTCAGCCTTGGGCCGGGGGTTTACCCAAACCAGAGCCTGGGTGGCTGCCTTGTTTAGTCTGGGCCCAGCCCAGAACGAGGCCTGCTCCTGCCTGCCTGGGTCACAGGCACCACATGGCCCAGTGCTGGCCTCCAGGGCCTGGGTGCTCCCTGGCTCTGCAGGAGCGGTCTCTGTCCTTTGCCCTTGGCCTCCCGTCTGTGACACCCCTCCCCCCACCCCGTCCCCTGGGCTTTCCCTTCTTAGCTGGCTGCTGAGCTGAGACCCCTTGCAGTGACCCTGGCTCTATAAGGGATGTGACACAGGGCCAAGTGTCGCTGACCAGAGGCACCGGCGGTGAGGGTTCGACCGCGGCCAGCTGACGTTGGGTTTTTCACTCCAGGGCTGCAGCTGACTCATCTTGAAAATAACATCCATGCGACAGCCAGTTCCTGCCTAGAGGATGCTCTGCTCGGGTGGGGTAGGGCCACGCCCCCGTGGCTTCCTTGCCCAAAAGACAGAAGCTGAATTTAAGCATGAGCCGCATCAGGCAAACATACATGGACAGGTGTCTCTACAGAACAGCTGTTCGGGCTCCTCGAAAGTGCCAAGGCTGTGAAAGACCAGATAAGTGGCGGGAGGGGGGACTGTCCTTGATGGGAGGGCCCACGGGGCAGGACCGCTACCTGCTAAGTGGGGTCCTGTGCCAGCTGTGGGGCGGGGCCCAGCACTGCCTGTGGGGTCGTTAGCAGGCTCATTTCTTTCTGTCGGTGCCCTGGTTCTGACCTCGGTGCCATGCATAAGAGGAAACTGGGGTGGGGGAGGAGGAGATTCGGGGATTTTTGAACTATTTTTGCAGCATTGTTCAAGTTCAAATTTACTTGGATATAAAAAGTTTTAAAACTTAGGATGAACCAACAGCATCTCTCATAGGTTACGGGGGAGACTATGAATGTGATGAGAGGGGCTGGTGTTGTGAGGCAGAGGGCTCAGCCACCACCTGAGACACTGGCCTCCCATGTAGGAGGGCGGGCTCCCGGCATGCTTGCTCCACTTGGGATCCAGCTCCCCATTAATGCACCAGGGGAAGCAGTGGAGGATGGCTCAAGTCCTCTGGCCACTGCTCCGACGTGGGAGACCAGGAAGAAGCTCCTGGCTCCTAGCTTGGGCTGTTGCATCTGTTTGGGGAGGGAAGATGGTTGGAAGATGTCTCTTTTTTTTCTGTATTTCCCCCTTTCTCTGTTACTCTGCCTTTCAAATACATAAACAATTTTTTCAGTGAGTAGAGGTCAAATACCCCAAGGAATGCCAGGGCTCAGGAGATGTCCTTAGGTGCCAGCTGTCATGGCCACCATTTTGCGGGTCAAGGTCAATGGCCTGGCCCAATAGCCCTGAGCCCAAGGAGGCAGTGACAGGGGAGCACAAGGCCAGCTCCCTCTCTTTGAAGCAGCAGTCACCCGTCTGTCTACAGGGTAAACATCTAGGAAGCACCGCTGGGGTCTCCACAGCCTTGTACGCGGCACTGGGAATATGGCAGGGGGTGCTAAGGGAGGGGACGGATCCTAGCAGGGTCCCTGACCCCAGGAGTGGGGTGGCTGATGTGCATGGCTTTGTCCCAAAAAGTGGAGCAGGGTTCCACGCAGCAGGGAGGGCTGCACGGGAGCGGAGGCCTGCAGGGACTGCCCCTGGGGCTCCGTGGGCCTCACCGGACAGCAGCTGTGCCAGTGCCACTGCAAGGGTGGCAGGGAGTTGAGCTGGGAGGAAGAGGGGTGCTTGAGCCAGGGCAGCACCCTGAAGGCTTGAGAAAGGAGGCAGCTAAGAGATGCGCGATCATGGTGACCAGAGCCCAGTGGCACTGAGAACCGGGGGCAGGAGGGGGCAAGGCAGGGGCAGCCACCCAGACCTCCCCCCCACCCTCACTGCCCAGTTCCTGACCTTGGCTTCCCAGCATGCTGTGGGCAGGGGGAGGACCACCATGACCCCAAAGGTGGCTGCATTTAAACTGCAAACACAGCCCAAGCTTGCGAGCACGTCCGTGAGCCAGTGGGCTCCGCCTCTAGCACTCGGCTGTGCTGGAACAGAGACCTGGAGCGCGCGTCCCAGCTCTGTGGCGTGGGGTCGGGCGATCCCGAACCTCGAGTCAATCTGGTCTCTAAAGAAGCAAAAAAGCGCCTCCAGGGACTTTCCCCGACAAAGCAGAGCCTGGCACAGGCACCTCGCGGATGCCTTCTGTGTGCGCGTGGACACTGGCCAGGGTCCCCGGGACCTGTTTCACAGAAGCTTCACACCCAGTGCATGGGGGCGGCACCAGCAGATGCCTGGGCTGCGCTCAGCACACAGAGCCGTGGGCGGCTGAGCGCCAGGGCAGCCACAGGGCTCCTCACACCCAGGCGGGGGCCCTGCTCCCCCGGGGGAAGCTGGCAGAGGGCTGGGGGCGGGGGGCAAAGGGACTTTGCAATCTTCCAGAACAGAGGACCAGGCGGCATGGAGGAGCAGTGAGCCTGTGGCCCAGAGAGTGCCGGTCGGGTCGCCAAGGCCCGTGTACCTCACACGTCTCGTTAGGAAAATGGGGATACAGATTCACTCTCGTAGGAGAAGGGTGAGCCCCGGAAGTGGTCAAAGCAGCGATGACGGTGGTGCCCGTTCCTTTTCACTCTCCTGGAGCACTTACCACCTGCCCATCAAGGAGCAGGGGCTTTGCCTGTGGCAACTCATTTAGCCACCCTGGAGCAAAATCAGGTGCTGGCGTAGTCCTACTCAACACACACACACACACACACACACACACACACACACGGGAGAGAAGGCGGAAGTCAGGGCAGTGCGTCTACGAGCCTGGAGTGCCCCATGTTGCCAGCAAAGGTCTAGAAGCCGGGAAGAGGCCAGGCCAGCGGTCTCCCTCTCAGCACTCAGAAGGGCCCATCCAGCCGACACGTTCATCTGCAGAACGGTGGCCCGCTGAGTTCTGGGGCTGTCATCACCCAGTTTGGACCCGTGGCTGCGACAGCCCTGACAAGTCAGTGCACTCACTGTTGCGATCTCTCTACAGCATTTCCCAAATCGGTCCCCATTGTGCCCGAAATGCGTCCCGTGGCCTCATCATGCTTTCGGTACTCTTGACGAAGCCCTGGAACCAGGGGCAGCTGTAGCCATATCTGGAGAGGCAGCCGCGGCTGATTGATTGGCACCTTGGGAGGGTACTCCTGGCCAGGGACGCTCCCTCAGCACCCTCCAGGGCATGGGACAGTGCCCAACCCCCAGAATCCTCAGGTCCAACGTGTCCCTGACACCAAGACTAAAAACTCTAAGACAGTGTGAAGACTAAGAAAATGCCCATGAGCTTACACACTCACGCGTACATCCGGTCCTTACACTCATGTGCACATGCACACATGTCCACCCACCCACTCTGCACCCAATCCAAGGACGCACAGGGTCCCGACCCCTCCCCCGGAGTTATGAACCATTGCTGCTGCATTACCACACAGGAATAATATTTCTATGGTCAGCAACCAAGACTTTCAGCATAATCAAGAAGAGACACAGCTGTACGATAAAATAAGCAAGGTTCAAATCCCTGTAATCATGAACTTGAACTGGAAATGTCCATTCATAAAACTGGTTATCTTCTAGATTTGTCTGCCGGAAAGCCCTCGTAGATGACTCAAGCCGGAAGCAATGAGTGCTGTAGCTGCAGGCCACAGTGTCCAGGGAGCCTCAGAGAAGCGGAGGATTCTAGGGCTGAAGCAGGGAAAATGCAAGATCAGTGGGTAAATCACCGCCTGCTGTGCAGGCATCCCATATGGCCGCCGGTTCGAGTCCCAGCTGCTCCACTTCCTATCCAGCTCTCTGGTATGGCCTGGGAAAGCAGTAGAAGATGGCCCAAGTCCTTGGGCCCCTGTACCCGTGTGGGAGACCCAGAAGAAGCCCCTGGCTCCTGGCTTCAGATTGGCCCAGCTCTGGCCACAGTGGCCATTTGGGGAGTGAACCACAGATGGAAGACCTCTCTCTCTGTCTTTCCCTCTCCCTGTCTGTAACTCTGCCTCCTAAATAAATAAATCTTTAAAAAAAAAAATCTGAGGAGGGGCATAGACTGGTGGTCAGGAGAGGTGACCCAGGAATTAGCACAGGCCAGGAGGCCCGGAACCTGGTCTCCCCACGGGTTCTGGACCCTTCCCACCACCACATCTGCCTCTCCTTGGCACCAGTGCTCGCTGTCTTCACATGGTGAGCATTCTTCCTTTACGCCTATCACCGCCAAAGGAAAACGTGCCCCAGGAGGCGGCATGGTGGGGGGCGGGGAGGGCATGGTGTGTGGCCTACCCGGTCAGTGTAGCCAAGTCCCCTGCAGGGCAGCTACTTAAGGAGAAGATGGAATCAGGGAGAGGCAGGCCTGCGGCACAGCAGCGGAGCCACTACCTGGGCTGCCCGTGTCCCACATCGGTGTGCCTGGGTTCTAGGCTCCATCTCTGCTCCTGATTCCAGCATCCTGCTAACGAGCTGGACCCTGGAGGCAGCAGGTGGTGGCTCAAGTACTTGGGCCCCTGCCACCCACATGGGAGACTTGGATTGAGTCCCTGGCTCTGGGCTTCAGCTAGGTCCTGCCCCGGTCATTGTGAGAACATCTGGGGAGTGAACCAGCAGACAGAGCTCTCTCTCTCTCCACCCCCCCCATAAATAAATGCACCCTTTTTTCTTAAAGATACAATTGATCTGAATCAAGGGGTGTTCCACGAGGTATCTGGTGATGTCCTGTAGTTGAAATGTGCATGATTTTTTTTTTCCACGTGCTGATTCATAGTCCCCATATCGTCTTTGGTTGAGTGTCAGCTCAAATCTGTTGTTTGCTGTGGCCGTGCTGGGGTGGGGGCGTGTTGCTAGCTTCCTTATTGCTGATCTTAGGGGGAAAGCATGCAGCCCCACCCCACAGGGGCTGGCACCACGGCTGGGGGGGGGGGGGTCCATTTGTGTCACGTGGATGGCCTGCCTTTGGTCCTGGTTCGCCGAGGGTCCTAGTCACGAATGGGCGTCAGCCTCTGTCACTGGTCCCTTCTGCATCCGCTGAGCTGATCCTCAGATTTTCTCAGTGAGTCCATGAATACGCTGAATTTCATTCATGTTTCAAGTGTTAAACCAACTTGCATTCCTGCGAGAAACCCATTTGGTCGTAATATGTTATCTGTTTTGTGTATCATTGGATACAACTTGCTTAAACAATTTAAGGAATTTTTGCCTTGATGCTCATGAGGTCTGTAATCTTGTGATGTCTCTCTCTGGTTTTGGCATCAAAGTTAAGTCTGGCCTCATAAAATGGACCGGAAAACAGCTCTTCTTCTTTCATTTTCTGCGAGAGTATGTATGGAGTCGGTGTGATTTCTTTCTTTCATTCTGGTTGTTAATCACTTGCCGAATGAACCCTCCCACCACTGCCACGGGTTTTTGCCAAAACCACTCGTGTTTCTTTAAACTGCCCGATTTTTTTGGAAACGTTCCAGTGAAGCTCTGTTACAAGGACATGTTCTGTCTGATCATCAGTGAAACCGGTGGCATTTGTGCGCCAGCTCTGACAGTCTGGGGTCACTGGTCAGAGTCCCCTCACCCTAGCTCCAAGCCCCCAGGGGTGGGTCCCCAGTGGTCCTGGGGGGCTGTGGGCCTTATGCCGAGAGGGGCTGGCCATTGAGACAGAAGCTAGTTGCTTGCGCGGGGTCCCTGTGTGCCTGAGCAAGGTACTCAGCAAGCTCAGAAGCCCAAAGCCTTGGCCAGTGTCCTCCTACCCCAGAGAAGGAAGCAGAGGCTGAGCAGAGCAAAGCAACCTATGGTCGTCTGGTGAAGAACCAATGGTCGGCCGGCGCCGTGGCTCATTAGGCTAATCCTCCGCCTTGCGGCGCTGACATACTGGGTTCTAGTCCCGGTCGGGGCACTGGATTCTGTCCCGGTTGCCCCTCTTCCAGGCCAGCTCTCTGCTGTGGCCAGGGAGTGCAGTGGAGGATGGCCCAAGTCCTTGGGCCCTGCACCCCATGGGAGACCAGGATAAGTACCTGGCTCCTGCCATCGGATCAGTGTGATGGGCTGGCCGCAGCGCACCGGCCGCAGCGGCCATTGGAGGGTGAACCAACGGCAAAGGAAGACCTTTCTCTCTGTCTCTCTGCCTGTCAAAAAACAACAACAACAACAACAATGGTTTTCCAGTGAAGAACCAATGGCAGAGCTGGGTTAGGAGCCTACCCTCTAACCACCTTCCCTGCTGGGGGGGGGGGCGCATACCCTCTAGACACCCCACCCTTGGCTGGGTCCAGCCACTAGTGGGAGACTGGGGGGTAGAGTCAAGCCTGCGCTCCCGCTCTCTCACGTCTCACTCAGGGCACGGTGGATGGTGTCTCTGGGAGCCATGGGCTTTGCTGTGGGCCCTCCTTCCACATCTCACACTGTGGGGTTGATTTACTTTTTGCTCATTTGAAAGGCAGAGTCAGGAGAGAGAGAGAGAGAGAGAGAGAGAGAGAGAGAGAGAGAGATTGATTTTCTATCTGCTGGTTCACTCCTCAAATGGCCACAATGGCCACAGCTGGGCCAGGAGGAAGCCAGGAGCCTGGAACTCATCCCAACCTCCCAGCTGGGTGCAGGGCCCCAAGGACTTGGGCCATCCTTCACTGCTTTCCCAGGCTCATTAGCAGGGAGCTGGATCAGAAGCGGAGCAGCTGAGACTCAAACTGGCGCCCATATGGGATGCTGGTGTTGCTGGCTGGGAGGCTTCACCCCCCACGCCACAACGCCGGCCCCCACATCTCACACTTGGAACTCAGCTCCTGTGCCAGTTTTCTCCCCTGCTCCTTTGGGCCCTGAGGTGGTGACACTCCCCTAGAGTGGTGACAGCGGCCACTCCACCAGGCCTCATATCCTTGTTCCTTTAACTCCGGGGATCTCTGTAAACAGCTGGGTTGTACACAAGCCTTTCAAACTCCCAGCCCCTGTTTCTGGCTCCACCCAGGCAGGAGTTCTCTGAACGCCTCATTCTGCCTACCCTAGAAGGCTCAGGCCCCGGGGATGCCCCTCTAACTCTGAGGCCTTTAACTGGCTGTTTCTCCATTTGCCTCTGCTCCCTGTGTGCCCCTGCTCAGCTGAGGCAGATCTGGGACCCCAACAGGCGCTTAAGTGGCTTGAGTTGAGGGAAGGGAGCACCTCTGTAAGGTGGTTCCTTCACAGGTGACACACAAGTGGGTGACTTCCAAAACCAGGGTTCTGGGACTTTTGCAAACATACAGGGTTCCAAGAATAGGAGGGCCCATGCTGGCCACAGCTCACGCTCATCCAAACCAAACAAGCAACAGGCCTGCAGGCCCTGTGTGGGAACTTCCATCTTAAAAACCGTTCTTGACCTTGATAAGCAAAACACACAGAGACACACACACATACACACACAGCTTGGGTTTCGATTTGCTAATGATATTTGCACTGAGGGAGCTGAAAAGAAAAAATAGAGACACTGAGTCTTTAGGGAGCTGTGCAGAGGAGAGAACCTGCGGGTGCACCTGCTTTCTTTGGGGACTGAGGATCTACAGCACCTCACGGGTGTCCCCAGGATGACACCGTCAGCAGACATCCGCACACCAGAGCAGACCTCATGGCCAGCACGATGACCTGAGCTCAGGCCTCATGGCCAGCTGGCTAGGAAGCAGGGCGGACATCCCTCTCGCCCCGCCCCGTCTCGCCCCGTGGATCATGGCATAGTAGCCACAGCCGGCTGATAGGCAGCAACGCTTCTGGGGGCCCCGCTAGACTGGGGAGCAGGAACCTGCGTGTCGGGGGGCTACCTCTTCTCTGGGGGAATCACCCAGCAGGCATTGATTTACCCACCAGGTTGAGGGGGCTCTGAGTGGTAAGACGGAAGAGAAACTGTATTTACCTAGGGCCGGTCATGGGCCTGGCTGGGAGCCAGGGGCTTTACATTGGTGTTTATTGCCCATGACCATGGACGCCGCAAATAACGACCATAACTGATGCTGATAACGAGGTCACCGGGCCTTCCCGGGGCACAGCTTCATATGCACAGGGATGGCCGCAGCTCCGCGGCCACCCTGCTCTCTGAGGACAACCTTGAGGACCAGCAGGCTGCAGAGGTTGGCCCGCCGGGGGCTGGCACGCGGCCGGCAAGGGCCGGAGCTGGAGCGCCCACACTTGAGCCCTCACCTGCCGTCTCAGCGCCGTACCCAGGTTTGAAAGCTCCTCAGCCCCCAGTGCTAGAAACAGCCCCTGACATGTGGAGACAGACAGAAACCTGGTGGTACTCGGCAGCAGGTCAGAGCCCACGGCGGCGCGGGCGGGGAGAGCCTGCACTTTGGCCAGGGGGTACCCCCCATTCAGCTCTCAGGGTCCCGACAGTGTCGTCAGAGCGCCGCTTCCCAGGCAGGCAATTTCCCAGTGGTCTCTGTTCACGGGAGCTCCAGGCCCGGGGAGCAGGGACACAGGTGCCGGGGCTGGGGACAGCCGTGTCCTCACCTGCTCTCACTTCCTACAATGAGTGAGACATTGCCTCGGTAAGCACTGAGTGCAGGGCCTGGCGCAGGGGGCCTCGCAGAGAGATGTCGGTTCCCTGTCTAGCCCATTCGCTGGGGCACCATGGGCTTGGAGAAGATATCATTAGGCCCTACCCCTCAACAAACCTTCTCAGCACACAAGTCTGGGTGACAGCCTGGGGCGGGGCTGCAGGGGCCTGAGCAGGAGAGCGGGGGATAGGCAAAGGGCAA